CCAAGATTCCAAGATTCCAAGATTAATCCTCATGTGACCCCTGATTAAGCAATGTCTCAAGATTCCAAAACCGACATGATCGCTACCTTTTGTCCCCCATAACCATTTTCCAAATTGAACGGCACATACATATCAATTGCAAATATCTCCCCCTAAGAAGACCCTCCAATATGTTCCCATTGCTTGACCTATATACCCATATATTAGTATTCCATTTTATGGTGTACGACCCCATCGAGTAGATCAAATACTCACTTCTCCACTATTGCCAAATTTTTAGATAAAACTTTTCTCAAAGCCGTAGCTTCTAATCATGTACTTCCTGGGGGAACATAGAAGCGCGACGTTCCTTGAGAAGCCCTCCTGATATGTCAGGCTCTTAAGGCTCCCACCTCCCTGCATCGCTCCTAGAGAGGCTCAAAACCTCCTCATTGCTCCAGTAATGCAGATGCATGGGTATTGAATACCTGAAAACAAACTGATTTCTTGGTGTTCATTTGACGCCACTCTGTTGATAATCTGTTGAATCATCCCAATGTCACAAGTGTAACAAACTCTTCACTCTTCCTCAATAAAAGAAAACAAAATATTAAATCATCAAATTTTTCTTAAAATTTTGCTTAGTTCACATTTCGTTCACTCACTTTTTAACCTAAAATCCGAACCGCTTTACTTTTAAATACTTATTTAATAAACATAAATAGTTTTTTTTTTATTTTAATATTAAAGGGCATTAAAATATTGTAATTTGTTTGTATTTGACAATAAAAAAATATATTAAAATTTTTTCTATTAAACGAAAATATTAAGTACCTTTTTATATACATACATACGAGTATAAATGAAGGTAGATGAAGGTATGTAGACTAAATTTAAAAGAAAATCAGTTAAAAAATTTTCATTACAAATATTTCGCGATATTTTTTTTTTTTTGGAACCTGACATTTATGATTAAATAAAACTAAAATATTTTTTAAGAAAGAAAAAAAAAAAATAAATAAAAATCAAAACAAAGAAACAACAAAAACCCTACAAAAACATTTTGATCACGGTTCTGTTACTTGAAGAAAAAAAAATACAAAAAAAAAACATTATATAAGTTTTTACTTCAGAAGCAAATAAATGTTGACTTCTACATTTCTTCTACATTTATTCAGGCAAAAATAATAGGAGCAATCACAAAAAGAAAACAATCACAACAAAAAAACGTTGTCTAAACAGTGAACAAACCTATTCCATTTTTTTTTTCTATCATTTTTTTTCGCTTAGCCTGTCTCTACTTCAAATTCTCTAAAAACTCATTTGCGACACAAAACACACAAATAATAACAGAAAAAAAAAACAGAACACAAAACAGAAAAAATTTGTGACCAATTGTACCCTTGTTCTTTTTGATCTCTTGCTGTGAAATCGTTTTGTCGATTTAATTCACGATTTTATTATGTTGCCATCTATGTTTTATTTTTTTAACTTTTTAAGTATTTTTTTTTTTGGGCTTTCTAAATTCTATTTTTTGACATTATTTTTAAGTTTGTAGTGCACTTCTTTTTAAATCTTTTTAAATTGTGATAATTTTTTCTCTCTCTTTAATTTTTTAAATGTAATTTGTTAGAATGCAATCACTATTTGATTTGCACTGATCTTTAATGTAGTTGTTTTTTATTTTTTCTTCTTTTTTTTTTGGTTTTGCTTGTTTTGTGGCTCAAGTAAGTTTAAAAATAAATACTTTAACTATAAAGAACAAATTTTTTAACAAATCAAGCTGGCAGCTTTTATCTTTCTGGTGTTTTTTTTTTTACTTTTTTCTTCTTTTATCATAGAATTTTAAAGTTTGTGTACTATAGATTGGCAGTATTTAGTTTTAGATTGGAACTAAATAAATTCTTTTTCAATATGGATTAGAAGAATTTATAGAAAAACAAAGAATTTGGATTGAAATGTTAATTTCGTTGAATGAGACGGAGAACATTGAAGTGATCTTGATTAATTAAATTTTGAGCATACAAATTGTTTTTCGATTTACTTGAATGCTGTGTCTTCTGTATGCAGTGTAGGCAGTACAGACTTATTGCAAAAATTGAATATTCTAATTTTAGTGCTTCTGGCCAGATGGGATGACCTCAAACTTTTGCACATTATTCCAAGCGTTATTCTAGCCAATCATATTCTGTTAGATAAATTCGTTTTTGCTCTTAAATTTGTGTGATAATGATACTTGCAAAGTAGTTGAATCTTGTGACATTCTCGATTAGGGTTCCGTAAATCATGAATTGTTCATTATTTTTGCTCTTTATTCTAAGTGACTTTATTTTCAGTACGTATTCAGTAAAATTTTTGAAAAATTTGTAGAAGGTTTCCTTAAAACTTCGGCTGCAATTTTAGAATGTGGAAAAATTTGTGATTGCTTGTAATGTGTTCTGCCACAGAATGGTGATGTGTAAATCCATTTTAAAGTCAAAAATTGCAATTTCTTTCAGAAAATCCTGAATTTCATGTTCGAAACAAAGTTTATAATTATTATCGCAATTGATTTGAGCAAAAAATGACTAAAAATAATTTTTGTTTGACTGCTGCAAAAACCTACTTTTAAAATCATAAAATATAAAAGATTAAAAAAAAAAAATTTATGGATTTGAAATTCCAAAATTTTGTCAAAAGTAGCAAAAAGTAATAAAAAAAATTAAATGTATTAAAAAAGTTTATAGTACAAAAGAAAAAAAAATTGAACTTTAAAATTTTTAAAATACTTTTTAAAACTTTGATAAAAGACGACGTAAATACGCGATATGATGACGACTTAAACGTTATTACGACACTTTTATATTTTGGAATTTTTATTATGGTTTTTGTTTTTGATAAGAAATTTCACTTTTCAAGATTTCAGAGAGTATGCCTGTGAGTATATAATATTGACATACATGTAGGAGCGATAAAGAGATAGATTACAATAAGGTATTTCACCAAATTGGAAATAAAAAAAAAAGAAAACAAAAATTAAATAAATAAAAAATTGTACAAAACGTGCCTGTATGTACATTGTATACACTTGAAAGTTTTATAAATCAGTGAGTTGAATTATAAACAAAAGATAAGGAAAAATTCTTATCAAAATAAAAAAAAAATTAGTTGTTCAATTTAACTCTAAGATATTGTAAAAGGAAATTTTCTGTTAAGGAATATTTGAACGCTTATTAGAGCCTAAAGAAATCTGAGTAGAAAGGGAATAGTTTTATTTCTGCTTAATGATTTTGTGAAGATAAATGAAACGACAGAATCCTTAACGTATGTGATTAGGTTGCTGTAGCATATTAGATGTTGTTAAAATTCTGTTGCCGTCAGAAACAAACCGACGAGACTTGAACAATGTCTAATGCTAAAGCATTATATTCATCGTTCCTTTAGTAGGTAGATTGTTTGTTCATTAACATTTGAATTAATTTTTTAAAGTTATATTAATATGACGTTGCTTGCATCAAATGTTCAGCAATTGTAAAGATTTGTTGTACATACCAATTTTTTATTTATTTTTTATAAATCAGTATAGAAACGTTAATGCTGTCATGTGTTAGCTTGTCATTGATTATTACCCAGCATTTACACGTGCAAGTTACTTGCAAGAAAGTTGCAATACATACAAAAATTTTACTAACACATTGAAATATTTCTACTTGCTTGTTTACTTGCAGTTCAACTTGCAAGAAAATTTTGCTGCCAGTAATTTGAGCAAGTAATTTGACATATTGAGAAATTCACAAAAAAAAATTTGTTGTTTTGATTTTTTTTTTTTTTTTTAATATAAAATTTTTGAATTTTGTTTTGAAAAAATTAAACTTAGCAAACTTATGGTTTCTAAAATTTATAAACAATTATATAAATTGCTAGTTGTTTTCTTCTCAAAGACATTTTCAAAAATTAACTTGCTAAACGCCTACGTCATAATAGCAAGTAATTTGACATTTCGAAAAATTAATTGACAATTAATATTATACAAACTTGCTTGCAAGTAACTTGTATGTGTAAATGCTGGGTTATATATCAACTTAACATAGCCTCCTGAGCTCGTTAATGTAAACCGAGTGAAAGATTACCTAAAAAAAATAATATTTAAGTTCGAGTAATATAAACTTTGACTTCTGTAGATTGAATACCTACGACATCAGCCGGCCTTTTTGTCAGGTCTTCGAATGTATATGAATTACGCTCATTTGATCTAGAATTAAACCAATTAATTTTTTTAAATATTTTAAAATTTCTTACAAATTTTTTATAAAATTACAACAAATTCGAATAAAAAAATTTTAGTTATCAAAAATTGTCGGTGCCATCCTTGATTATTTTTAATTTCCAAAAATTAAAAAACAAAAAAAAAATTACTTCAATTTTCAATTCCCTATGGTAACTACCCGCAAGTAATAAGTTAAAGCTTAATTGTATAAGTATCAAAAACGTAATAAAGTGCACTAAAAGCTTCTGCTTATTAATAATCACTTCGCACTATCTATATATTATGCCTATGCTGACTATCAGTCTGATATCAATCCTTAAAGAACGATGGACACTTAAAATTATTGAAAAAACAAAATCCAATTTAATTGTTTACCAATATATTTGAATTATATAGCAAATATTTACTAATTTTAAAGTAGTTGCTTATAAAACAAAATATATAAAGAATATAAAACAGCAAGCGTATACTGGAACACAATTTAAAAGTTATAGTGACGTTAAAAATTATTGACGTAAGTTTAGGTTAATTTGAGTGTAATTAAAATTTTATTAATTTAATTTTATTCTAATAGAATTAAAATTGCCATACATGTAGGTAAATTATTTCAAAATTAATATAATAAATTTAATTTGCGAATAATAACTTTTCGAAACAGTTCTAAAGATTAAGTGAAAAAGCGTCAAATACAGTTAGTCGTATAAAATCTATTGATGTGAAAGATACGAACGGGTTTCATTCAAAAGTTATTCCATGCAGAAGTAAGCTAACGCTATGACCTTACAAATAAAAACTCCCACATTTATAACATTGCCTTGTAAGCAGAACTTAAAACCTATCACAGTCGGCCGTTATCCTCTTTCAGAATGAATTTTAATTAGAGTGAATAAATTGAAGCAGGTAAGACAACTAAAATTTCATAATTCTTTCCACATATTTCCAGATTGTTCGTCCATCTCAATTGTATCGTATATAAGTTATACCCTACTCATAACAGTTCCCACTCATCATAATCGGTCACTGATCTTTTGAAATCATATTCGAACAAAGTTCAATTATTCAATTTATGCTATTCCTAAGCTTTCAAATTTTGAAAAAGCAAAAAATTTTTAATCATTATTGAAAAACTTATCTTAAATTTTAAATCAATTTTTATGTGCTCGTATTTATTATAAACAACATACTTAGTACTTATACTTAATTAAATATTATGTAGCTACATATGTAAGTGTTAAATACCTACCCAGTTAGACTAATAATTTTCTTTTTTAATTTTATTTTTCAGTTCACCACAACATCAACAAACATATCATCGTATAATGTATCATGATGATGGTGGTTATGTAGGACAATCAATGCAAAATTATTCGACAGCATCAAATACAAATTCTGGAACAAATGGTGGAAATAACAATAGTAGTGGTACAACTGGAGGTGTATCACCTTTACCACCACCACAAGCACAATCATCTGTAACCGGAAATTCTAATGCATCACCACAAATGTTAACATCATCGTCATCATCACAACATTCACATCAATTATCAAGTTTAGCAGTAGTTACACATTCAATGATACCACCACCTAGTCCTTCACAAATGCACCTTGTTGGTACACCACCAACAAGTGGAACAAATATATCAGGTGGTGGTGGTGGTGGAGGTAATCCTAGTGGCGGTGGCGGAGGTGGTGGTCCAATCGGTAGTGGAAGTGGATTATCACATCCAAATTTATCACAAAGTCCAATGTTATCATCACCTTTAATGTCATCACATTCACCATTATTAAATTCAAATTCACCATTACTTAATGCAAATTCACCAATGATCTCTGAATATTCACCATACGCTAATATTATACCAAATTCAATGGATGATGTTGCACCAGTATGGTATAGTTATCCAAATGAATTTTGTGCCTCAAGTTATAGTGTTTTACCGAGGCAAGCATATGGTCCGGGTGGTAAAATTGGACCTGGTAGTTCATTAAAAAGTGCTAAAGAAACAAGAATAAGGCGACCAATGAATGCTTTTATGGTATGGGCAAAAGTTGAAAGAAAAAAATTAGCTGATGAAAACCCAGATTTACATAATGCAGATTTAAGTAAAATGTTAGGTATGTTTTTTAGAAAACTTTATTTTTTTTTTTTGTGTATTACAAATATTATAAAATTTTTTTCTTAAATATACCAAACACATATGCATCTACCTTAATATGCTGCATTTTATGCATAATAAGGCAAAAAATAGAAATTGCATTCAAATTACAAGTTGAATGCATAAAAAGATGATACCGATCGAGTCAAACAATCCAATACGATGTTTTATTTTATTACCTCTTCCATTCGAACATTTAAAAATATGAAATTCAATGAATATAATAAGTATTTAGTTATATATAATGTTGTCGTCTCTTTTTCTCGGTTGATTAAACATCTTATTTTCTCTTATATACTTTTAAAAAGTTTATATGTGTATAATAAATACATCTTTATATAAATATAAATAGATGTACCGTATAAACTCCACCCAAAATCAAATGATTGGTTTATGCTTTATAAATTATATATAAAACACAAAAATAAAAATAAAATCACCCGATCCATTAGAATGTGAGTGAGTGTGTGTGCGAACTTATCAGAGACATTAGTATATATATGGTTATGCTCTTCTCTTCTTCGGTACTTGTTTTTGTTATTTTATTTAATTTTGTTTTTTTTTTGTTGCTATATGGTTTGAAAACAAACTGATGCTATCGTAATTTACTCTCTGCCTTATTATAAGTGCTCTGGCTATTAAGCGGGTATCATTATTTCAGTTTGCTATGTAAATAATTATTTATTTTATAGTAGTCACGTATATTAATAATATGTTGTATCAGTAATTTTTAATAAATATTGTTTTCTCTTATGTTAAGAAAACAAATATGTCGCTTCGAATATTAGGAGTAATTTATAGGGTATTGCAGGAGATTCATTTAAGATCGTAGGAGAAGAGATTCATTTGGATCGAAAATTAAAAAATGTCAAATGTTGGTGATAATTGAATGTATGAATATACATAAATTTAATAGATTTCTTTGTTTTAATTATTAATTATTTGTATATGAAGCTGAATTACATACATAACTTGTTAATCGCAAAACTTTGTTTTTCATATTTCTGCAAAATACAATATAATACCTGACTCTATGAAGGAAATCACAGCAGAAAATAAATAAGTTCAATTTAAATATGACAAAAAATTATATAATTTCTGCAAATTTTGCTCACCGAAAGCACTACCATCAAATCAGAGGGTATGGGAGTACATTCCCATACAGATATGAAATCCATTTGTGATCCAAAGCCTGCCAAATGCCATATAATTCCAACTAATGCATTTGGTCCTCAGTAGTCGGTGTTGCAGATAACTGCCGCCTGAGAGTTCTTCTGCCGGATCCCAAGTATTCTCCGCCATCTCACTAAATGTCTTGTTTGTAATGAAGCAAGACAAAAAAATAAATCACCTTTCTACATACCTAGATAAATATTTATGTTGGTATGCAGCTTCTATATTATGTACACAAACTGTCTGTCATCTTTTTCTATTTTCACGAAACTTATGTTTTCCAAATAAATAGGCAAAAATATCGTAAATTTTTTTTTCTCATAAAATTTAATTTTTAAAATTATAAATGTAATAAATTTTTTTTTCTGTTTTTCTCAATTTTTGTTTTTAACTACAATCCAAATTTCGCCTTTTTTGCACTAGAAAATTTAAAAAAAACAAAATAAATAAAAATAAAATAGAAAATTAAAAAAGCCAAAAACGCCATGTTTGTTTTTCTATTCAGTTTTTTTTACGTTTTTATTTTGTTACTTTTTTTTTGTGAAAATTGATCTTGAAAAACTTGAATGATTTCTGACAATCGAATTATAAATTTTAGTTCAAGGTCAACTTATGTTGTACCTACATATACACACTCATTCTACATACCTGTACCTACTTTTATATATACAAAGTGATTCCATATATCGCGAACTACTTATGACTTACATATAGAAAAAATATTTCAGAAGCGCTTAATTAAACTTCCACCTACATTTAATTTTCTATGTTATTTTTGTATTTGTTATAAATTTTTTTAGAATTTATAACATTAGAAATTTTTTTTTTCGATTATTTTAAAAAATTTAACAACAAAAGTAGGAAAAAAAGCGTTATATACAAGTATAGATGATTGTATTGTTGAAAATAACCTTAAAAAATGACTTACATACAACTATACTTACATATCTGTATATTTGTATATAAAAAATTACCATAACAAATGAACAGGAAATGACGATCCCTTCAGAGATCGCGCAATCATTTAACCAGAACGAAAAAACGATAAAAAAAAATAAAATTGGTTTTAATTTTATTTTCTTTTGCGTTTTTAATATTATTAAGTATGAACTGCAAGTATACATATGTACATACATACATATATGTATAAATATAATATTTCAAAGTTTTTTGATAGCGCAATAAATTCATCATTATCATATCACATCACATCATTCATCACATATACATGTACATATCTATAAAATATTATAGATTTCATTCATCCATACTTAAATATCTAAAAGGATTGCCAACGTACACTGGTTTTTGTGGAATTTCCTTAATATTTTGAGCACGACAAATAAAGTCACAATTATATGAGTCGAAATCGCAAGTCATACAGTTAGTGAATATTGCAGTTCAGATCAGAGTCGCCCGTCAACTGTTTTTCCTAACTATTTCCCGAAGAAATTTTAGATTTTTGTCGCCTTCCTGTAGGCCTCCTACAGGAGACTTTGTTTGTTGCATTCCTGGCGAGATATTTCAGTATTCCGACTGCAAACAAGCAATTTTCTCTTACTGGAGCATATTGAAAAAGGGTTTGGGACCAAATAAATCTGATTTCCTCCAACTTTTAGTAATATTCACAATTACGCTTTCTTTTTGAAAAGTTGGTAACCTCAGAACTCTGTACATTTTACTTATTATACAAATTTAACATATGAATCTACTTATTCTAAATGTATATCAGTTATAAATTTTATATAAAAGTTTCAAATTGGAAAATAACGAAATAAATTTAAAAATCGATTCAATAATTTTGTAGACACAAGCTCGTAGATCAAAATCATATTAAAAGCTATTAATAAGAATAAAATTTATTTGATTTTTATTTTATTTTTTTAAATAAAAAACCAGATGTCAAATTTCTTCAAGGATGCAACACATACAAATATTTAAATGTAAACATTAATGTAAATCTAAAATTTTTATTGAGCGTATCAAGTAGGCAGTGTAGATATTCCTGACGATGCACCAAATGATATTCATTTACTTATATGAATAAAAATTGAAAAATTTTAAAGAAATAAATTTAGGTTATACACACATTTTTTTGATCAAAGATAATAAGGTTTTGAGGCTCCCTTTTTTTCATGAAAGAAAAAACATGAAAGGATTTAAAGCAGGAAATGGGTATAACCTTTTATAGGTCAGATTATTCAAGTATAAGAGAATATTCAGACAAAACAGAATCCTATTTGCAAATACATTTTTTTTTCCTGCACGGGGACCGAGGCCCTTAGGCCCCACTCACGTCGACCCATAAGATCTTTTGTGATTCTCATACCCCCTACATTAACTCTATTCCTAGGCCCCTGACAAACCGCAGTATGGCAGCCACATCAAGCTGCGAGATTCTCCCCGGAGTCACAAAGCCCCCGCCCCGAAGCACCTCCGCCGCAAGCGAGCAATCGCCTCGCACTCACACAGTAAGTGCTCCATGGTTTTGTTCTCCTCCAGCCATAAACGGCAGACCTCATCCGCCACCCTGCCCATCCTTTTCAGGTGGACCCTCAAAAGGCAGTGTCCAGTGAGAACCCCCACTAATGTTCTCAAATTTGGACGACTGAGCATGGCCAGACCCTGCCCCCCCAGTTCCAGGGGACGCACAAATTTCCCAGAGTGCGAACAGGCCCAGGCAGCTGTCCCAATGTTCAACTCTAGCCCACTCCTTCCATTCACTGAGGGCACGCAAGACCGTTGTCTTGGGCACCACAAAGCATGGCTCTGGCTCAATGAAGGGAGCCGGCGCTCTTTCCCTGGAAAGATCATCAGCTCTCTCGTTCCCGTCCACTCCGTAGTGTCCCGGCATCCACATCAAGATTAATTTGTTGTGCCTGGCCAGGACGCCAAGAGTGTCAATGCATTCTTTTAGCAGGCTGGATCCCACTCATCAGACAAGAGGACCCCGAGAACAGCCCTACTGTCCGACATAATAAAAATCCTGCTCCTTTTCATGTTCCTTCTGATACATTCCAGAGCACGCAACTCTATGGCATATGTCTCAGCCTGAAATATCGATGGGCAGCGTCCGAGGGCCTTGATATGCTTACGCCCTCACCGTACACACCCACGTTCATCCCTTCATTGGTTTTGGATCCATCCCAGATCCGCCTTTCAGCTAGATCCACAACGTATGACCTGACTATGTTCCTCTCCTTCAGACCAAAGTCCAAGGGCATCTTCATGTCATGTAGGCCATCGATCTCCGCAATAATGCTTAGATGGCCCCTAAGATTACCCGGCTTTGGCTCCATGTATTGCCTTATCCGCAGTGCCCCTTTCATAGCCTCCCCCTTTAGGTGAATATGAAGCTAGGCCAAGCCCAAGAGAACCTCCATCTCCTCGGGCACTTTCTCAGTTCACCCGTTATGCCAAGACATGCGAGGCGCTGCAATCGAGTGAGAGCAGTTTTAAGTCTAAGATCCCACATTTTTCCATATAGCCTCGTCGAAACCCATAGAGCCCGTGTGGCCCTAACTATGACTCCATTAAGATGAGCCCCCCAGTTTAGTCGTTGGTCTAGAACTACTCCCAGATACTTGACCTACTTGGAAGGCTCAATGTTTTTGCCCCCCAGGAGCAACGGGTGCATACTAAATTTCCGCCGCCTAGTAAATGGTACAATGACTGCCTTTCCCGGGTGAATACCAAGGCGCTCCACCTGAGTCCAGTCCCGTATGATGTTCAAAGCACCTTGCATTCGGTCAGCCACGACATCATCATGCTGGCCCCTCACAACAA